GTTCGTGTTTGATGTAGTTCTCGTGTTCATACGCCAATGTGGAAACCTTCGAGAGGGGGCACGAGTTTCTATTCGGTTAGTCCCGGAACGGCACGACTTGGTCACGAATGGCTGTGTATTAAAAGCCCACGTTTCTCGTAATGTTAATGAACTGATGATAAAATCAGAAATTAATCATACAAATGTGTGAACATTTAAAATAAAATTTATGTAAAGTGTATTATCGATATCATGATTATTTTATATTATGAAATTTTGCATGTGCAGGTTGGTAATCCGAGCTGTAATGCAGCTACTGTTTTCTCCTTATTTTCAAATTCGGAACTCAACAAGGTGGATACTTCCAACCAACACCATTTTTAAGTAGGTAATGGATTTAACAGCGCACCACTGCAATATTACAGCTATTTATGACCGCGGTCTGTAAATAATCGAGTCTGGGCCAGACAATCCAGTGATTGACATCATGAGCAACGATCCACGCAATTGGGATACAATGACATGCATCAACCAAGTAAGCGAGTCTGACCACCCGATCCCGTTAGTCGCCTCTTACGACAAACATAGTCGCCTTTTAACGCAAGCATGGGTTGCTGAAGACCTATTCTACCCCGGATCTTCACTGGTCCATATCATATTAGTAAACCCATAAGGTCCACATGTATTATAGTTTTGAATACGTTGGATGTCATGACAGTAAAACTAAAAAAATGCTTCCTAAATATTTAAATCAACATCAGTGTATTCATAGGGAAGAGAATTTATAGATGTCAACTTCTTTATTTTGAGGAACACAACGTTTCGGAGTACATGACTCCTTCATCAGGTGAATAAATGTTATGAAGCAGAGAACATATATAAGTACCTTTAAGAACAACAAAAGTAATAAGATTAAAAAGGTGGAAACTTAACAAGGGAAGCCAACAGTTCATTAGCGCTGATAGCTGATTAGGACAACTGGAAGCCAGGAATTAAATTTTCACTGACTGGTTATAGGCAATGGACAGTGTATTAATAATATTTAAATAAATATGAGCAATTCTTAAATGTTTTTCGGAAACAAAATTATCTTTGACTTTGTTTTATCTTTGATCACCACAGGAACTATGTCATGTAGGAGTCGATGCTTTTAAAGAATTGTCGTAAGATAACGTCCTATTATCAGTGAGATTCAACTTTGAATGTTTTTCACAACTTGGTTTTCATGATTTGTTTCCATTTTGTAACTACTTATACCGTGTTTCAATATTCCCTATGTGTAACTATCCTTAAGGAAGAAGGCACTGTAAGATTGTATTGGAAACTAGTATCTTTCGTTTGACATCGTGCGTCGGAAATATAGTCCATGCATGATAGTTCGCTTTCACACATAATTTAGAGAATGCATATGTAGCAGGACGTGGAATCATCCCACAGATGACATCCTTACCTTGTCAGCTTGCTGACGAGCTTAACCTCTTTGGTCATGTGGACAAAGCGTCCAACTTCTGATCAGAAGGTATGTGGTTCATTGGGCTGATATGCACTTTGCACATTGGTTTTGGGCTGTAGTATAATCAGCTTGATGGACTGATATACTTCCGTACGGCCACCATGTTTTTTTATCCCTATGACGTCCGCGGACGAAATAGACGACACATATTATCTCGGTTCACGTTGCGCAAGGCGTCGTTCAAGATGAGTACAGTGAACATACGTCATTTGATAGTTGGTTTCCCATACAGGTGGAGCTCATCTCACACAGCCATGTCGCATTAAATATGCACAACGTGGTTTTGCAAAGTGGGTCAAATAGCAACTCGTATTGTGGTGGGTAGGCTTCCTGGGCGTATACCACTCAAAAGAAGTTAAAGAACGGGTGGCCCAGTCGTCTGGAGCGCCGCAATTCGCTGTGCAGTGTTGCGTCCCTTGAGCACGCCAGAACTCTATGATTGTGGGTTCGAATCCCGGTTGGATTAGGTTTGTCAGTACCATAACGTGGTGAGACCTGCATCACTTCGGGCTTTTCTCCATTCAGCTGACACGCCGTGATATAACTGGAATACTGTTAAAAGCGGCGTTAAACCAGACTCTCTCACTCACTCACTAAAGAACAAAACATAGCACGATAGATTAACTACATTTATATGAAAGAATCGAGCGTTCTTTAACTTCTTTTGAGTAGTTTATATAGTGAGTGAGTGAGTGAGTTTGGTTTTACGCCGCTTTTAGCAATATTCCAGCAATATCACGGCGGGGGACACCACAAATGGGCTTCACACATTGTACCCATGTCGGGATTCGAACCCGGGTCTTCAGCGTGACGAGCGAACGCTTTAACCACTAGGCTACCCGACCGCCCCAGTTTATATAGAGTAATCATAGATCTCACACATGGCATACAACCCGACATACTTTTAAGTGTGTGTACTGGGGCGGTAAAGCAGCGAATCGAGGCGTCTCGAACCGCGACAACGGATCTAATCTCCTGGCATGTAATACGAACTCCAAACAAAAAGAAGGGAATCCTAAAATATTAATGTTTAACCACGTATTAGAACAAAGATAAGTGTTGACGACAAACGTCGTTTAAGAACGTTCACGTCTGTAAAACTTAACACCAAAACGTTATGCTTGTTAGTGATTTAATGCATATGTTTAGATGCAAATATAATACTAGGGTGTCGCTAGCATGACGTACTGTTATCATTGTATGAATTAATTTAACAAGTTCATTGGGCAGGAGGTCTCGTTAATAAAAAAAATGTTGCAAGCCCTCGTCATGTTTTACAAGCCCAAAACAATAAACTACGAAATGAAAAAAAATGTCAACGAACTTTGACATTAAATGACGCCTTAACTGACTAGAAAAAATATATATGTATTAACTCGAATTTTCAACCACACAGTCCGGTCAGTTTGACGGAAATGTTACTAGCCCAATTTAAAAGTCACTGGCATTTGGCTAGCGGGCAAGCAGGTATTTCGTACACTGACTTTTATGCATTCATTCAAAATGTACAAATCTGTGTCAGCTTTAGCTTGTGTTTTCATTGGGAACACACTTTTGCTTTGGATTTATCTTACTGAAAAGACACTTATTGACAGTTAGATATTTGAGTACGGTTGTTTTATGGGAAAACACTTGAACGTGTTTCAATTGTGATACTCATCAAACATGTATTTTATTCTTGGTAATGTTTTGTTTTTAAACTCCTGTTGATTAATGAGACCATACAATCGGCACTTCCGTGCAAGTCCTACAGTTCCGGAGAGAGCCGAGGTTACGCAAGGGATGCGAGTATTGGATCTATGGTGGATCGGAGTCCAGAGTAAAGCATCCACCCGGAAACAGATGATACGTTTCCAGCATTTTTAAAACAGATTGCTTTCTTTCAAATTATATGTTTCTTAAATTACAGTTTACACACTCCTTTCCTGAAGACAATTTCCACACAGAAATACCTCATGTCCACATATTATAAATTAAATGTTATAATTCCATTACCCATGTAAATAACGCAAATTAAAAAGAGTTGGTAAGTGAATGTTGTCTTGTGCCACAGTCTGTAAACGAGGGCCGGTAAATTTGTCAGGCAAACCAGTGGTTGATAGCATGAGCACCCGTACACCAAACACGGATACTTATTCTGACCAAGAATCCCCACAGGGAAAACTTACATGATTTGTTTGTTTGTCGTTTAATGTGTCATTGAATGCACAGATGAGTAATTCCCATTGTTTTATGTATAGGTGGGTTTTTCCTTTGAAGATCGAGTAAAAGCTTAGACGATTTAACAGCTAACGATGTAACAATATTCCAGGTTTATGACGGCGGTCTGTACATAATCGAGTCTGGACCAGGCTATCCAGTGATTGACATCATGCGCATCGATGACACGCATCAACCAAGTCAGCGAGTCTGATCGCCCGATACCGTTAGTCCTTTCTTACGAGAAACTTTGTCGACTGTTACGGCAAGCATCGGTTGCTGAATACCTATTCTACCCCGGATCTTCATTGGACACACTTACATAAAGATTATAGAAATAATCTTGAACTCTATAGGGGGAAACTAATTCTTTTCTTTTTTTTTAAAGCACCAAAATAAATAAATTAACATAAACTATTTTCTATATTACAAAGCGAATAAAGTTTAAAACATTCATAAAGAATGATGATAATAACAAAAACATACGAATCGTAATTATTACGCATTGTTCATATTACATAGAAAAACGGTAGCAATCCTATACAGCTTAACAACTGGCAACAGTCATCACTTAGAGCATGGCAAAACATTTGTTTATCATTTGTTTTTTAGTTGCTTAACGCTGTACTTAGCAATAAATCCAGCTATATGACGGCGGCCTGTCCATAATCGAGTCTGGACCAGACAATCCAGTGATTGACATTATGAGCATCGGTCTAAGCAATTGGATCCCGATTACATGCATCAACTAAGTCAGCGATCCTGTCCACCCGATCATGTCTCCCATTTACAACAGGTGCTGTTGCTGTAGACCGGTTCAAACCTGGATCTTCATGGGAAGCAAAAACATAGCATTCCCACAGAGCGAGGATAGCAGAAACGGAATTTGCGTCAAGCAGCCTTTTCACATCAATACAAAAAATAGCATTATAACACAAACATAATCGTACCACAAAGAATAAAGAGTGTATTAGAACTATATATAGCATGCTTGATCACTTATTCGAGGAACACGATTCCGAAACTCCATTGATGAAAATAACATACTTGTTAGATAATAGACCCTAGAGAAAAATAAATAAAAGGAGTCCAACTTAAGTCTACAATAATTTGGCAAGTCTACATTGCCTAAGCTCTTTTTAAGGATTGTTCTGGCCTTGATTTGGGTTTATTCATGTTTTGTAGATCCATGTATATATTTAAAACAGATAACTTTATTTCTGGGTCAAAATGTCAGTCTAGTTAAGCTAGTATGTGTGTACTGACTTACACCATGTCGTGTATTGGAGTATGTTTGTACTTCCCTTACCTTTTAGTCTCCGAGTTGTGGGGCTCATTATACTTCCTGGTACACAGGGAGGCCAGTCAGTGTAATCGCCACTGTCCAGAGAATCCGTCGGGTACTAATTACTGGTTGTAATCTTCACTGTCACTAAACGGTAACACTAAAGCCTGACAATCATCAGCCACTTGTATGATACCAGATGATCTGCCTGTAGCCTGCCTGACGGTGAGAATCAGATGACACTGTGGGTCTCTCTCTCTCTCTATTGGTGGGTTAATATTAGAAGTGGGTATTTTCACTACCACTTCCTAGTTACTTATCGATGAAGTGTTGACGTACTTCGACATGTCAGTGTATAATAGCTGTTACGTAAGCATATTATTCGGTTATGCATTATATTATTTCCGTTAAAATATTTCATGTATATATTTTGACGCAAGAGCGTTTAATACTGGGTGGCTTTGTCAAGCTTTTAGTGTTTGAAGCATTCGTAAAATATAACGTTGGTGTTCAGGGATTCATTCCCGAAGCATTTTCTTCGCTACGAAGATCTATATTCAGAACGTTGTTTTCCGCCACTGTGAGCTATGTTCCAACTATATCACGGTGGTCTGTAAATAATCGAGTCTGGGACAGGAAAACCAGTGGCTGAAAACATGAGCAACGATCGACGCCATCAGATGCCGACTCACATGCACAATGTTCCTCAAGGTAATGACGTCAATACTTTACGGCTGTGTATACACAATGTTACTATAGGTGAGGACGTCAATACTTTACGGCTGTGTATACACAATGTTACTACAGGTGAGGACGACAATACTTTACGGCTGTGTATACACAATGTTACTATAGGTGAGGACGTCAATACTTTACGGCTGTGTATACACAATGTTACTATAGGTGAGGACGTCAATACTTTACGGCTGTGTATACACAATGTTACTATAGGTGAGGACGTCAATACTTTACGGCTGTGTATACACAATGTTACTTTAGGTGAGGACGTCTATACTTTACGGCTGTGTAAACACAATGTTACTATAGGTGAGGACGTCAATACTTTACGGCTGTGTATACACAATGTTACTATAGGTGAGGACGACAATACTTTACGGCTGTGTATACACAATGTTACTATAGGTGAGGACGTCAATACTTTACGGCTGTGTATACACAATGTTACTATAGGTGAGGACGTCAATACTTTACGGCTGTGTATACACAATGTTACTATAGGCGAGGACGTCTATACTTTACGACTGTGTATACACAATGTTACTATAGGTGAGGACGTCAATACTTTACGGCTGTGTATACACAATGTTACTTTAGGTGAAGACGTCGATACTTTACGGCTGTGTATACACAATGTTACTATAGGTGAGGACGTCAATACTTTACGGCTGTGTATACACAATGTTACTATAGGTGAGGACGTCAATACTTTACGACTGTGTAAACACAATGTTACTATAGGTGAGGACGTCAATACTTTACGGCTGTGTAAACACAATGTTACTATAGGTGAGGACGTCAATACTTTACGGCTGTGTAAACACAATGTTACTATAGGTGAGGACGTCAATACTTTACGGCTGTGTATATACTACGTTCCTCCACGTAATAACGATGAGAGCTTGACACCGTCTTCTATACGTCACCGGTTTGTACAGTCAGAGTCAATGCTACAGTCAGTGTTTAATATCAGTCAAGTTGCATGCAGTTAGTTTTCAGATACTATTAGACAATTAAAAAAATTCCCAAATATTTCAGTCATTTTACATTTCAGTCATCTTTAGATAGAACTGGTGGTAGCACGCTTACGATTATTTTGACACTCAACACACGGGTTTGTGGAGTTCAATGGAGTCAAAGGTGATATTTTCATGCTTATTTAAGGATTTTATCATCTCGACAGCCTGTCCAACTGAAACATGCGCACGTTTAATGATATCAAACATATAATCTAGGTGAGAAACGTTTACAAGTATTAGCGGACCTTCACTTGGCTTACAGTTAATGATCAACACAATGTGCGAGTACCGCGAAGTCCATTAATAGCTCGACAATGATCACCTTTACCCGCTTCTAATCCTGACATAATTAATCTACTGTAGACTACGTTTATAACAAACACGCTTATAACGAACTGACGGACATAGCGAACTTATTTTTAGTCCCGGCCATCTGATGTATATATGCTGTATATATGCTTATAACGAACTACGGTTATTACGAACTAAACTTAGTGGTCCCTTTGAGTTCGTTATAACCGTAGTTTACTGTATTGTGGTTTCGTTAAGCCCTTTTATATAATTGTCAGTAAATCTGTCAAATAAACGGACCGGTTTTTCAGTCATTCTCAAGTCAAATCTCATTCACCCAAACTTCATAACAATTAATAGCAATTTAATATTAAAAGCGCTGTTTGTTGTATAAAAAGTCATCCACAAAAGAAATGTTTCGGCCGAGACATTATACAACTGCTCTCCACTCAGACCATATTTCTTAAACGATTTTCTTTACTTATAAGCAACATAATCACTGCACATGTACTCAGAAGACGTCATTCAAAATTAATAAAGAATTTTTAGTTTCAATAAAATCAGTAAATATGCTATGAGTCACTAGATTATCTGGTCCATCGATCACTTGATTGGCTTGTTTGTTTACGGGTTGTCGTGCATGGGAGGAGTTCTGCTGTCCGGTGTCAGACAACAAACACTTACTTTTTTCAAAATTGTGTGAGGAATTGCTACAGGAAGAGTGAGTGAGTTGGGTTTAACGCCGCTTTTAACAGTATTCCAGTTATATCACGGCGAGTCAGCTTAATGTGGGAGGAAAGCCCGAAGTGATGCAGATCTCAGACGTTTACCACTTCGGTGAAACCCACGATGACGGTTATGGTGCTGACAAACCTAGAAACATAATCGGGGCGAACCGGGATTCGAACGCACAACAATAGGTTTCTGGCGTGGCCAAGGGACGCAACTCTGCACAGCGAATCGCGGCGCCTTAGACGACTGGGCCACCCGTGCCCCCGCTACAGTAAGAAGAGGACATGTTTACCCGTTTGGCGAACATCTGTTGTCATCAGTGATTTTCATTGACCTATCCGTATAATTTACTCAGTGATTTTGCCTTTAATACCCAATGGAATTAGTTTCGGAGACTCATTATTCATTGACGTTTGCCCTTTGGCGTTTACATAAAGATCTATGAGTCACACACACACAAACACCCTATCACCCCACACCCCTTGTCATACGTCAGAACATATCTATTAGACTCTTCCTTGTCTTCCGGGATCATGGCGTGTTGTAATAATAATAGAATATAGAGTTTGCTAGGAAGTCTTACCTTTGACAACAGACACGTTTGTTGCATAGCTCATAAACGGATAGGTAACTACAATTAAACATATCCCATCTGTTATTTCATTCCCGTCCTTGGTGACATGCATACTATACTACATTGTTATCACAAGCTGTGTCCGACAAATTGAAGTTTAAGGTTACTCGGTGGTTGTTTTTTCCCGTCCTACCTTAGATATCTGTTTGAGATACAGCCATGAACACTGGCGTCCTTATGTCTGCAATATACTGCACTACTGTGTTCTATCATTGTATACAATATGTGACACTTTAATTCAATAAATGTCATCATCTTCTTCTCCCTCTTCTTTGTCATACATCTGATTGGCGGTCGGGTAGCCTAGTGGTTAAAGCATTCGCTCGTCACGCCGAAGACACGGGTTCGATTCCCAACATGGGTACAATGTGTGAAGCCTAATTCTGGTGTCCCCCGACGTGATATTGCTGGAATATTGCTAAAAGCGGCGTAAAACCATGCTCGCTCAATTATATGTCTAAGACCTGCATCATGTAAGGCTTTCCTCCCACATTAAGCAGACCCGCCCTGATATTACTGGAATGTCCAAAGCGAAAGTTACTCACTCACTCTTATATTTTTTTCGCGATAGGCCCTTGGGCCCTATTTGTAGTTGGTATGTGCATAAGATTTTCCTGACTATTAACCCACTTTCCTTCACTTTTACACTTTTACTTCCGGCTGAGCACAACTCTCCTCCCTCCACGTCTTGTATTAGTGTCATCACAATACCAAGCCACGCCTCTCCGTACCAATCATGTCCCGATAGCCACCAATAGACGACCAGACACATCCGTAATCACTCATGCCACTTTCCCTGTCCTCATCCAGGAGCTCAGTCGTGACCATCTCGTGTTATTCCGGGCCAAGACGAATGGCGGCTCGTGCCCCTCTCGTGCTCGTGGCCATTTTTGAAGTTGGGTTCCGTCTAAGCGCAAACGGGCATAGCTTAACGAATTGTCAACTCGTTGCGTAATGATTCAGAAAGGAAGGTAAGATTTCGGAAAGGGGCGAGAGGTGACGAATGACAGAAGCTGGAACGCCTAATTGTGACGTCCATACCACGAGACTGAATTTCTGATGGTGGTGGTGGGGGTGTGTGTGTTAAACCATACTCACTCACTCACTCACATAGCACGCTCACTCACTCACATAGCACGGGGAAACCCCTGGGAATTCCCTTGCACGACTAGCCACAGAAGCATTGTTTCTGGTCACTTGGACACTCCAGTCTTGAACTCAGCGTTTTTTGCATTTACTGGAAGAAGCAAGATTATTTGACCGCATGCCAGTGATCGATTATCCTAGCTACGACCCACCCTAGACGCAAAACAAAGAATTGCGCCAAAACAAACCTCGACTTGATCATGGCCAAGACAGTTACAGAACCTTCAGTCAACATTCTACAACGAAATATGAATTTTAGCAGAGATTTATTCAGATTATCGCTTTTATTTACTTCAGTTTCTATTCGTAAAAATCTTTATGCTCATCGTCCAACCTTTGTCCACCTGATCACTGATGACTAACACCTAAACAACGCAGGATCATTGTACTCCGGAGATAATGTATATGTATTACGACGCACTGTCTGTCACTGAGTGAGTGAGTATGGTTTTACGCCGCTTTAAGCAATATTCCAGCAATATCACGGCGGGGGACACCAGAAATGGGCTTCACACATTGTACCCATGTCGGGAATCGAACCCCGGTCTTCGGCGTGACGAGCGAACGCTTTAACCACTAGGCTACCCGACCGCCCCTTGTCACTGACTTACTGAGATAGCTCTTAACATATTTTTGTATCTAATGTTGAATCCAACTCCAAAAGATGTAACTGTAGAGTAATTTGAGCATACATACACTCATGTCATC